AATGGTAGCACAACTCGAAGAATGTAATCAGCGTCACTGAATTGTACATGTAGGGACTGTTGAATTGGTGTATGTTCTGCTGTGTATATTCTCAACAACAACAAAAATAATTTTAAAAAATAAGTAAATACACCAGTGTTCAGTGCAGCACTATTTACAAAAGCCAAAAGGTGGAAACAACCTAAATGCCCATCAACATATGAATGGGTAAACAAAATGTGGTACATATATACAATGGAATACTACTCAGCCAGTAAAAGAAATGAAGTCTTGATACATGCTACAGTATGGATGGAGCTTGAAGACATTATGCTGAGTGAAATTAGCCAATCACAAAAGGACAAACATTGTATGACCTTACTTACATAAAATGACAAAAAAGGTAAACGTATAGAGACCAAAGTTTATTCGTGGTTACCAGGGGCGGGAGGGTTAACAGTGCCCTAGGTTTCTACCCAGCTACCACCTTTTATCCACAAGGGCATCCTCTAAGACCCATCTCTGGGCCTCCGCCCTCCACTCCTTGGTACTCAGGGACTCCCAAAGGCATTTAGTGTCAGACCCAGCCAATTAGAGTTATGGCAACTAACCCCAAGCAGGGCAATAAAGTCCTACACAGTCATCAAAAACCTCACCATTTGACTTTTGGATTTTCCACCGGTCTGCATTATTCACACAGGGAGATGGGGGCGGGGGGTTAACAGTGATGGAAATATCGCATTGATTAAGAGTATTGCACAGCCCATTATTGTAATTGCTGTCAATTAGTTGTACACCTGTAGAAAGTTGAATTGGCAAAGCATGTGTGATATATATATTTACAATGATGAAAAAAAAAGAGTAGCTGCTGAGGCTGCTTATGTACAACCAAACACCTCATGGGATTTGGTTCCTTGGTTTGGAGGTTTAGGGTCATGGTTTCATGGGACATCCCAGTTAACTGACCTAACAACATGTTTAGTGCTTCTGTTCTACCTCCTAGTTTGTAGTGTAGTGCCTGAGGTCTTTAAAGCTTGCAAGCAGCCATCCAAGAAGGCACAACAATTAGTCTCTATTCACCTGGAACTACGGAGGAAGAAGGAGAGTCAGGAATAAGAGGAAGATATGGAATGTGTGGCTAATTGCCTCCATGAACAACTGCCTTCTTTGCCACGAGACTAGAAGAACTAGATGGTGCCCGGCTACCATTACCAAACATTTTGATCAAAGATTCCATAGAAGAATTCTGATCAAAAGGGGAGGAATGCAGAACAGAATTTTAAAATTTTTATGGACTCTAGACTTTCTGGAGCCATGAAGGCTGGATGAACCCCTGGAACTTTTGCCCTGAGATAATCTTTTAACCCTAAATCAAAAATATCCCCTAAAGTCTTCTTAAAACTGAACAACAGTCTAGCTTAACTAGTAAAGAATGGAGCCCTGGTGGCATAGAGGCTAAGCATTTGGCTGCTAACCAAAAGGTTGCCAATTAGAATCCACCAGCTACTCCTTGGAAACCCTACAGGGCAGTTCTACTTTGTCCTATAGGGTCGCTATGAGTTGGAATTGACTTGATAGCGACGGGTTTGGTTTTTTTTTTAGTAAAGAATGTCTGCCTTGAGCATTATGATTTTTTGGGATCAAATTGACAAAAGCATCTCAAAAGATTAGATAGCAGCCTTAGGGGTCAGTGAGTTTATATTAATGAGGGAGGAACAACTTAGAAAAGGAGGGTGAGAATGGTAGCAAAACCTCAAAGGATATAATCAATGTCACTAAATTGTACTTGTAGAAATAGTTGGATTGGTGTATGTTTTGCTGTGTATATTCTCAACAATGACAACAAAATAAATAAAATTTAGGAAAAAATAAAATAAAACAAAAACGTATTCTGCTCCACCACAGAGAAGGGAGCTCAGTCCCAGGGCGACAGAACCGTGACACCTGCCCTTGCTCTCCACCACCAGTCCTAGATGGGGAGGAGCCAGCCAGAACAGGACTCCCAGGACCCACGTCATTCTTAGGGCTGTCCTGACCACCCCACACAGCCTGGTCAAGTGCCCACATTCCTGGGCACATGCTAAGGGCATATGCTGAGAGCACCCCAGGATGCTGGCCCCCCTCAGGCAAATTCCTCTCCAAATGGTTCATCCCCTACTCAGATGCCAGCATCGCCCCAGGCCTTGTGCACACCATTTCTGGCACCTCCCCTTGATCCTGTTGCACTGACAGGTGGCTTCGAAGCCTCTGCCCCAAGGTTACAGGCAGATTAGGGGTGTCCTATACCTGGCTGTCTGGCAAACCTGGAAAGGGCGCCTTGCCGCCTCAATCTCTGGCACTGCCTGCCCGGGAGGGGAGGAATGAGGGCTGGAAGCCACCCAGCCTCAGGCATGGGCGTAGGAGAGGAGAGAGCAGAGTGGAGCTGGCTGGTTTTCCCACCATTGCAGCAGGCCTGCGTGGCTGGGCAGCCGTTGCTCCTCCGCTGTTGCTAAGGCAGCAGCCGAAACCCTGGCTCAACCTGCTCTTCCTCCCCACCCGCATTTTAAGTAAGGGCACCCCTCTCTCTCACAGCCTCACAGGTTGCCCCACACCCTTGCATGGGAGAAAGGCTGGCCAGGGGAAGGAAGAGCAGGCTCCCTGTATCTCCTGTGTGGCTATGGGCATGGTGGGGGCAACCCTCACCCAAGGGAGGGGGCCCGTAGCCAGGAGAGGAGGAGTGGTTTTGGGTGTCTGGATCTCCCACCCCGCAGTGGTGAAAGGGCTGAGCTTGAGAGAACGGAAGGGGTTCCCTGAGGCCATCTGACTAGATCCCCAAAGTAGGGCTATGCTTCTCTCATCAAGACTGGGGACACTGAGGGTGATGGCTCGTCACCTTCAGCAAGCTAAGGTTCTTCTCCTCTTAGGCATTCCCTAAGGACGGGACTGGGCTCTGCCATTGGGGTTGGGAGGTCAGATGGAGGCCCACCTTGCAATGGCCTGTGTGTTTAGCCAAATCTTTAGCTCTGGGCAGCCTCAGGCAGGGGTCAAGGCTGTCACCCCCAGGTCAAGGCAAATGCCCCTGCTGGTGGGAAGTGAGAGGAGTTAGGTTCTTAGCCAAGTGACCTTGGGTAAGTACTGCCCACAAGAGGACAAAGGACAGGCCAAACCCTCCCCAGGAAGTAGTGAAATGTAAGCACCCGGGTTCCTGGGAGCTGGGGTGAGGGTGAGCCCAGCGGGTGCTGCTGCCCTAGGTTTCTACCCAGCTACCACCTTTTATCCACAACGGCATCCTCTAAGACCCATCTCTGGGCCTCTGCCCTCCACTCCTTAGTACTCAGGGACTCCCAAAGGCATTTAGTGTCAGACCCAGCCAATTAGAGTTATGGCAACTAACCTAAGCAAGGCAATAAAGTCCTATACAGTCATCAAAAACCTCACCATTTGACTTTTGGATTTTCCACCGGTCTGCATTAGTCACACAGCTCCTCTCCATTAGTGTGCATAGCAGAGAGTGGACTGGAGCCTGGGCCTCACCCTGAGCGGCAGCCCCAACCATACACATGCACTTTAGGAGAAAGACAGACCTATGCCCCCCAGCAGGCTGGTCGGGTCCAGGGACCCATTACCATCTTAGGCTCTCCAAATGGCCCCTTCATCCTCCCACCCCCACCTGGACACCCATCTGCTCAGCTCAGCTCAGCTTGGCCAGGCCCTGGGTTTGTGGGGGGGCAGGTAGAGAAATGGGGAAGTCTGGGACTAGCCTGCAGTGAGGCATCCCTCAGAGGCCCTCTCTCTCCCCTAATCGAGCCTGTTGCCCCACCCTACCCTGGCTAGCTCCTCCAAACTGCTCCTAGCCTTTTTCAGGGAGGGAACAGCAGCCAAGATTTTCAAGAACTGTTAGGAGGTGCCTTGTGGGGCCATGCTGAGGGTCTAAAGTACAGCCTAACGACCAGCCAGGGGAGGGAAAATGATGTCAAGGAGGTGGAGAGGACAAAGTATTGAGCACTACTGCTGCCAGGCCTCCCTCAGACCCCACTCTCAGCCTTGCAGTGCCACCCTGCTCAGACTGGGAAGGGCCTCTGGGAGAAGGCATGGCCTTACTTGCCTGTCACCCAGTGTCCAGCAAAGGAAGGCTGACAACAGACAGGCCACTTAATTAGAGAAAGAGCCCGGGACAGGCCAAGGTAGGGAGCGGGAAGTGAGAATGAGTGGCCTTTCCCCCTCCCCACTTCTGCCTCCCACCCCCTGATGGGACCCCCTGCCTCTGCTTTGACACTCCCACCCCCACTAAACTTAGCCCACTGCTCCCAGGCCCCACCTGAGCTGATGGAGCTCTCTCTAGTGGCCTGGTCCCCAGGACGCCCCCAGTTCTACAAGCAAGGGAGGGGGGCTTCTGGACCGTTGCTCCACCCCAAGCAGAGTAACCAGCCGGCCCTGACCCCGCCCTCCTGACCTAATCCCTTCAGTGGACCGGCGACTATGCCCAAGACAAGGACCTACAGGCATATCTCCCTGATAAATGGGACTGAGAAACACAGACACCTCCTCTCCAGCGACCCAACACCCCAACTCCCAGCAGCCCCGGCAGGACCCAAACACCTTGCCTCCATCTCCTGCTCCCAGGAGCTTAAGATATAACCCTTCCATCTCTGACCCGCGAGGACGGAGAGAGGCAGATGCTCCAGACCTGCAACCGGTGGCTAGGCCTGCGTGTAGTGGGGAAGGGGGTGCGCCGGGACCCCCTAGGGTGCTCCGCTTCCCACTTCCTCACTGGACATTTTTGTTTAAGACCTTTAGACCTGGGAGAGCTGGGAGAAGGGGGATGGCGTCTTGGGGAGGGAGACCAGGCGGTTGCAGAAGAAAGTTTTGGGGGGAGAGTGCTAAGTCACTCTGAAGAAGCCACTGTCACTCCCACCCACTGGAAAGGGCAGCCGCTGGGCCGGGGATCCCCAAGCGGCACCTGAGCCCCCGGGGGCGGGGACAAGTGCTGAGCCCCTGGAGCCCCGTCGCTTGTGCCCTGCGCGCTGCCGGGGTCCACTCACCAGGACTCGGTTGAACCTCTCCTCCAGCTCTCCCGCCGCGGGCATCGGCTGCTTGGGAGTCGTGGGCTGCTTGGGGGGCGACGCGGTAGGGCCCGCGGGCTGCTCGGCGCTGCCTGCTGCGTTACCCATAGTGGTCCCCACCCAGTCGGCCAGGCGCCTCCAGCCTCGGAAATCCAGCTTTCCGGGGGGCAGGGGACACGGCTCCCGGCCCGAGGGTGATGGAGGCAGCGGCTCGCGCGGCCGGGGTCTTGGCTTAGCGGCGCTCAGGGGCCGAGGCGCGGCGTCCCATCCGGGCGGCCCCGTCCGAGGGCGCCGGGTGGCGAGCTGCAGGGCGCGGGGAGGAAGTCAAGCTGCAGGCCGCCGGGGCCCGAGGGCTGGGCTGGGGGCAGGAAGCTGCGGCGCGGGCTCCCCCCTCGGCGATTTTCGAACTTCTGCTGCCGCTCTCGGTGCGCGCAGACCGCATTTCACCGCCGCCACCGCTGTGCACCCAGCCCCAGGGGGGCGGGCTGGAGGGAGGGGGCGGGCGTTGGTCGGCCGGGGGTCCCCCGCAGCCATGGCGCGGCAGAAGGGGCGGCCAGCCTGGTCACCTGCCGCCGCAGAGCGGGGAGCCGGCGCCGCTTCACCTGCCGGAGAAGGAGGTGGGGAAGGCGAGGCCAGAGGCGGCGACCCGTTCGGCGGCGCCTCCGGGTCCTAGAACCACAACTGCCGCCGGCTTGAGCCGGAGCACTGGCGGGCTCTGGGGAAGGGAGTCAACGCCGCGGGGCGGGAGGGGGTAAACCTCTGAGTCGAGGTTTCTCAGCAACTGCGAGCGCGGCTGGGAGACCCACGGTGGTGCGGCGTTGAGGCTCAGGGGCTGCGTCCCCCTGTCGGGCCCCCGACAGAGAAGGTGGGAACCCCCTTTCAGGCCCCCCACCCCTTGTTTCTCTTCTCGTCTGTTTCGCCCGGAGATGAGCTAAGGACCAGAAGGAACCATCTGCAAATGAGAACCCCAAAGCGGGACGTGGGGCGCGGACACAGGCCAACGTAGACCCCACCACCTGTCCCACCCTCGACCAACTTTGCGCCTGCGCCGGCAACCCCAGTGGTTTTAGTATGTGGCGCCTATGAAAAAGGGCTGGCTTCGAGAAGCTGAGGACCACCAAGGCGGTTCCAAGGAAAACCAAGGGGGTTGGATAAGGAAGGATTAAAGCCAACCGCTGGGCTGGGAAAGGAGCAGGCACCGCAGAGGATAAAAAAAAAAATCTTGACGCTGGCACCTCCAGGGACCTAAAGTGGCCTCTCGGCTTGGAGAATAACAATCTCTGATGTCTGCCAATTACAGAAGCACTTCCAGGGCCTGTTTCTCTTTCATCCTGACAGTGATGACCAAGGGAGGTAGGTACTGAGCTCCTCATTTTAGAAATGGGGAAACTAGGCTCAGAGGGGATAAGTGACTTGCCCAAAAGCACACAGCTAATAAAGGACACACACAGGCCTCCTCTCTGTCCACCTCCGAAATCCAGGGCACTTTCTACACTACCTTGGAGCTGCTGTCCTGCCATCCCCACCCCCACCACCCCTCCAAGGTGGACCAGAAGGGCAGGAAATATGGCAAGGCTTAGAACCCAGGGCTGGGGCACAATCTCCAGCCTGCATTTGAAGCCTTTCCCTTCCACTTGCTCCTCTCATCCCCATTTAATTTGCAGGGATCCCCAATAGGCCCCTGCCTGCACTACCGGTGCATTGAGGACCCACTGAATGAGCCCCGGATTTTCCCTAGGCCAGCCCGGAGGTCATAAGTGTCCCCTTATGGCCTCATCTTCCTTCCACCCTCACTCTCAGATTGTCCAGAACCACTGGCAGGAGTTTAAGCAGGAGCCGAGAAGTTATCAAATCTTGAGGAAGGCCATGGGATGATCTCCCCACACACAGACCTTGCCCGGGCTGAACTGATTTAAGCTTTTCATCTGCCAAGGTCATCAACACCCCAGGTGGGTAAGAGAGGGAGTCACTTGTTTCTTGTTCTGGCCAGACACCTCCAAGGTGAGTTGAAACAGGGTTCTCCTTGGGCGTGCTGGGAAGCTGATCCGTTCCTGCCCACTGCCCTCACCTCCAGCCTAGGACAGAACAGAGGTGGGTTAGGTGGGACCTCTTGGTTTTTTGTTGTTGTTGTTTTAACTAGCCTCTGATCCCCTTGATGACTGCCTCTCTCAATTCAGCAACAAACCTTTCCTTAGCACCAGCTGTGTGCCGACCACTGTGCTTGGTCCTAGGGATTCTGTGGCAGACAGAAGAGTCCCTGTCCTTGGGGCCCTCAGAGCCAAGCAAGGGACAGACTCTGAACACATCTGGGAGAGTGGCCGCTGCAAGTGAGCCTGTATTGCCAGGTGTTCATGCTCCCTCTTGCCCAGAACTACTTTTTTGAGGGGGGAGGAGGAGGGTGGGCGTTTGGGTAGAACCTCCGGAAAGGGTATCTGTACCCCACGCAGCTGAAAATCCGAGCAGAGGGCCTCTAACGCAGTTGTTGGTAGCAGGCACCCTCAATCCCTGGGGGTCCTCAAGTCATTACCAACAACCGCCCCAACCCAAAGCCTGATAGAAATAAGGCTAGGCTAGCTAGAACTTGTGTGGAACGTTATCAGTTCAGCAAGGCTATATTAGCTCTCTGTCGAATGCCAGTCAGAAGTGTGAGTTACAAAAAAAAAAAAAAAAAGGAGGGGCGGAGGAGAGGTAATTTAATCAATTATTACCTAATAAATTTGGTCGACTTGGCAGGAAGTATTCGGGGTCTACAGACGAGGAAATCCTAGAAAGGGTCCTTGTGTTGAAGGTTGGGGACCAATGCTTTTGTGGGTCTGTGCTTCCCCCTGCTGGGTACAGGAGGTATGACAGCTAAGATAGGGAGAGGCCTCCAGTAGTGATAGATATGTAATCATACAGCACAGGTGACGTTTCTGGACTATTGCCTTGTCACCTCCGATGGAGGGATTGTGCAGCCACTCAGAGCTCAGGTAACCAAGCCAATTTTCCCAGGAATCCCCTTCCTCCCTCTGCCTGTTCGAAATTACTCAGTTGATGTCTCTTACAAAAAAAAAGTCTCAAAAACATGTGCAATAAAAACCAAACCTTTCTACACGACCAATCTGCCTCCCTGTCCCCCCTCTCTTCCCCATAGGCAACCACTCTTAAGAGTTTTAATGTAAATTTCCAGAGATATTATGGGCATATACAAGCTGTTTAGCAGTGTGTGTGTGTGTGCGTGTGTGTGTGTGTGTGTGTGTGTGTGTTTTACACAAAGGAAAGCACACTCCACACACTGTTCGGCACCTTGCTATTTTCACTTAATAACATACCTGCCTCTGTGTATAGATATGTCATAATTTATTTCCCTGTTCCCCTCCTAGTGGCTATTTAGGTTGTTCCAGCCTTTTGTCACTACAATGCAGCCTGCGGGGAATATCTTGGGACATATATTTGTTTGCACTGTGTGTACAGCTGCAAGATAAGTTTATAAATGTGACATTACTAAGTCAATGGTTTTTTTAATTTTTGATAGATTTCACCAAATTGTCCTCTAAAAGGTTTGTACCAATTTGCACATTCCTTCCCAAAGCAATGGATGACATTGCCTGTTTCCCCACATCCTCACTAACATAGGGTATTATCAGGCCTTTTGATCTTCAGTGAGGCCGCTTTATCAAAGAGAAGGTGAGGATCTGTCTCTTTCTTCAGACTGTGGGTTTCTCCAAGGCAAGGACTGTATCTTTTCTGTCCCTATATCCCCATAGCAGGACTCGGCACCATGTAATTACATAAGAAGTCTTTGGTAAATATTGAATACAAGAAAACATGACTGCCTTTTGGCAAGCCTGGAAGGAGGGAGTGGAGGGCTGGGGTTGAGCAGGTGGCCTAGCCTTAAGGGCCACTTTCTCTTCCAGGCCCTGGTCAAGCTTCTGCCCCAAACTCAAAACCCCTCCTCTTTCAGGAGCCTCACAGACTGTCATCTCTGAGAGTGAAGACCCAGGATTCCCAAGGTAGCTCTCAGCCAGCTCTTCTGTGTGGCAGGGATGGGCCTCGTCATCACTGAAATACCTAAAGACTGGAAACAAATCAAGTGTCCAGCTAGAGGGGATTGGATAACCGGCACTGTCGTTTAGAACTTTCCATGATGATGGAAATGTTTGCTGTCTTCACTGTCCAATCGGGTAGCCACTAACCACATGTGGCTGTTGAGCACCCAAAATGTGGCTACTGTGACTGAGGAAGTGAATTTTAAATTTTACTTAATTTTAATTAATTTCAATTGAACTAGCCACATGTGGCTAGTGGCTACTATATCTAACAGTGCAGGGTTAAATAACCTATGATATATCCCCACAATGGAAAACTACGCAGCTATAAAAAACAATCAGGATGCCAGGTACTGATATGGAAACATCTTCAAGTATATTTTTAAGCAAAAATATGATGCAGAACAGTATATATAGTATGCTATCTTTTGTAAGGAAGGGAGGTGGAAATAAGAATAAATGCTTGAATTTGCATAGAGAAAATAATAAAAGTGGTGGCCTCTAGTGTGCTGGAGAAGCAAGGTGGACAAGAACAGGGTGAGAGAAAGACTTCACAATGAATTTCTTTCTGTATCATTTTGATTTTTCAACCATATGCATTTATTAACCTATCCAAAAAGTTAAATTAAAATATAAGATCTATCTATCCTGGCAACTTGTGGTAGATGAGGAAAGGAACCTCACTACACTGCCGCTTCTATGTGATTCCCCGAAGGACGCCTCTGGAGACTTGGGACAAAGAACACCTCATAAGCCACAGCCCAGATGCGGCAGGTGCCCACAGCTGGCCTATGTCAGAATTGGAATGTTAGGGGATGGGGCCAGGAGCCTGTGCCGTTTATGGTCTACCAGGTAACTCTCAGAGCAGACACTGAACTGCCCTTACCAATCAATACCTCCCAATGAAGAGAGGACAGACCCTAGCACCTGGCACTTGTCCATTCCCTACAGACAGCAATGGTCACTGACATCTTCTGAGCACTGATGATGGACCAGGCACTTTCCATGGGTCATTCTAATCCAGACAGCAGCCAGGACAGGCTTCATTATCCCTGGGCTGAGGGTCCTCTGGAGTGACTAACTTACTCAAGGTCACACAGCTGGTAAAGATCAGAGCTAGGATCTGAATTCCATCCTTAACCCCCTGAGCCTCAGTTTCCTCCTCTGAAAAGATGAAGATAGGATTTCATAGAATTGTTTTGAATATTAAATAAAATTTCATGTAAAGGGCTAAGCAGAGACTTACATTTCCAGCAGTAAGCTAGACTCAATGCCCAGAGAAACCCTTCTAATATCCAAACCCAAAAACCCATTGCCATCGAATCAATTCCCACTATTAGCTGCCCTATAGGACAGAGGAGAACTGCCCCATAGGGTGATGGGTTTGAACTGTCAACCTACCGGTTAACAGCCAAGTGTTTAACCACTGAGCCATCAGGGATCTTTAGTGAAATCATAAACCAAATATCCCCTTGCTATCCTGTCGCTTCTGACTCACAGCAACCCTATGGGGTGGAATAAGACTGCCCCATAGGGTTTCCAAGGCCGTAATCTTTATGGAAGCAGACTGTCACGGAGCAGCTGGTGGGTTTGAACCTCCCACCTTTCCATTAGTAGCCGAGCACTTAACCACTGCACCACCAGGACTCCTTCTTTCTGGTACAAAATGCCTAAAAATGTTAGATAAAATATAATATTTGTGTGTGTGCGCGTTTGCGTGTGTGTTATTTTCAACGCAAGACTGAGGTGATAAGAAAAGAAAAACCCCTGAGGCCAGATACGATGAGAAAGCACAAAACCAGAAAGGAACAAGACAAAGCCTGGAGCTTCATAAGGTAGGAGGTTGGATCAGAGACAATCTCCCCTCATAAAAGTCCAGGGTGCACAGATGGTGACATTCTTGGGTAAACTTGAAAAAAAGTCCACCCTGCAGAGGCAGATGGTGGGGATACTTGCCTGCCTCAGTTTATTAGGAAGATTAAATCATTCTACAGTTGTATGTACCTAATAACATAGCCTTGAAAATCATAAAGCATAAATTGTGAGAAAAATATACAAATCCCCCGATGTAATGGAATATTTAAATCACCTTCCTCTGGAATTGGTAATTTTTTGTCAAGCAGACAAAGAATTCAGGAAGGATATAGAAGATTTGAACAATGTAATTGACAAGCTTGATCTAATAATTTTAACACTCCAGCCAACAATCAGAGAACACACTTTTCCTTTCAGCCACACATGGAACATTGACAAAAGTGACCACATATCAGACCGTAAAGCAAGTCTTGACCAATTCTCTGACGGCATCATATAATTAAATTAGAAATCAATAACCAAAAAGATAACAAAAAAGATAAACTCATGCATTTAAAAATGTGAAAATATATTCATGGATTGAAGAAGAATTTATAATAGAAATTGGAAAATCTCTAGGACAAAATATCAAAAATACTGTGTATAGAGTCCTTAGCATACCCACCTCTGCCAGTTACTGTCAAGTCAACTCCAACTCATGGCAACCCCATGTGTGTCAGAGTAGAACTGTGCTCCATAGCATTTCCAATGGCTTATTTTTTGGAAGTAGATCACCAGGCCTTTCTTCCAAGGCACCTCTGGATGAACTCGAACTTCCAACCTTTTATTTAGCAGCCAAGTGGAGTGTGTTAACTGTTTACAGCACCCAGGGACTCCCATTACCACATAAAACAAAACAAAAACAAAAACCCAGACCTGGTGCTGTTTAGTGGATTCCAACTCATGGCGACCTCATGTGTTCCAGAGTAGAGCTGAGCTCCATAGGGTTTTCTTGACTGTAATAATTATGGAAGCAGAGCACCAGGCTTTTCCTCCAAGGCAGTGCTAGGTGGGTTTGAACCTCCAACCTTTCAGTTAGTAGCCAAGTACAAATCATTTGCGCTACCCAGGGACCTCATTAGCACATAACAAAACCACAACTAAACCCATTGCCATCAAGTCAATTCCGACTCATAGAAACCCTATCGGACAGAGTAGAATGGCCCCATAGCATTTCCAAGGCTGTAGATATTTTTTTTTTTTTTAACATTTTATCATGGTTTAGGTGAAAGTTTACACAGCAAATTCGTTTCCCATTCAACAATTTATACACAGCTTGTTTTGTGACATTGGTTGGAAACCCCTGAATGTGTCAGCATGCTCCCCCCTTCCTCCCTGGGTTCCCTGTGTTCATTTGCCCAGCCTTCCTGCCCCTACCATCCTTCCGAACTTTGCTTTTGAGCAAATGCTGCCCTTTAGGTCTCGTATAGTTGATTGTTCTGAGGTATACATTCCTCACTGGTGTTACTGTTCATTTTATAGGCCTGTCTACTGTATGGCTATAATGTGATCTCTGGGAGTGATTTCATTTCCAAGTTTGAAGGGCGTCTAAGGGCCATAGTCTTGGGGGTTCCACCATTCCCTATCAGACTGGTCTTATTTATGAGTTTGAACTTTGTTCTATATTTCTCTCCCATTCTGTCCATGATCTACTATTGTGATCCCAGTCAGAGTGGTCGGTAGTTGTAGCTGGGCACTATCTAGTTCTTCTGGTCTCAGCCTAGTGGAGGCTGTGGTTCATGTCATCCATTAGTCCTTTGGACTAATTATTTCCTTGAGTCTTTGATTTTCTTCACTCTTCTTTGCTCCGGTTGGGAAGAGACCAATTGTTGTATCTTAGATGGCGGCTCACAAGCTTTTAAGACCCCAGTCACTACTCACCAAGGTAGGATGTAGAACATTGTCTATATGGATTATGATGTGCCAATTGATCAAAATGTCCCCCAAGACTATGGTCCCTATCTCTCAAACCCAGTATCTCAGTCCCAGGAGGTATATGGTTATGGCTAAAAAGTTGTCATGACGGTTCCCCTATGTGCACTATTTTGTACATGGGTATATTTATTTATAAGTATGTAGATGTACTTCCATACGCCCTCCCACCCCTGTTCAGCTTACATATCTACCTATGTATCCACTCGCACATTATTCTTTGTTATTACAGGATTTTATATATATTAGTATTTACCGTTGTTGCCTTTTACTCCTGCGTATCTTTCAGTATCTTCTTTTATCTTGATTATGTTCTGCTGATTTCCCCCATATTGTGTATTATCTCTCCCTTTACCAAGGTTAGTATGTGTCTACCAACCAGTTAGTGATTTTCTCTCCTCCCCCATCCCTGATAACCATCAAAGAATGTGTGTCTGTATGCAAACCTTTTCTTGACTTTTTGTAATAGTAGTCTCATACAGTATTTGTCCTTTTGTGATTGACTTATTTTACTCAGCATAATGCCCTCCAGGTTCATCCATGTTTTGAGATGTTTCGAGGATTCATCGTTATTCTTTAACGTTGCATAGTATTCCATTGTGTGTATGTACCACAGTTTGTTTATCCATCCATTCCTCTGTTGATGGGCACTTAGGCTATTTCCATCTTTTTGCTATTGTGAATAATGCTGCAATGAACATGGGTGTGCACATGTCTATTCATGTGATGGCTCTTGTTTCTCTAGGATATATACCTAGGACTGGGATTGCTAGATCATAAGGCATTTCTATTCCTAGCTTTTTGAGGAAGCGCCATATCGTTTTCCATTGTGGTTGTACCGTTTTACATTCCCACCAGCAGTGTATGAGAGTTCCAATCTCCCCACAGCCTCTCCAGCATTTGTTGTTTTCTGATTTTTTGATCAGTGCTATTATTACCAGTGTGAGATAGTATCTCATTGTATTTTTGATTTGCATCTCTCTGCAGCAAGCTATGGCTGCTAACCAAAAGGTTTCAGCAGTTCGAATCCACCAGCCGCTCCTTGGAAACCCTATGGGGCAGTTCTACTCTGTCCTATAGTGTCGCTGTGAGTTGGAATTGACTCGACGGCAACGGTAGTGGGTAATGGCTGATGATCACAAGCATCTCTTCATGTATTTATTGGCTTCCTGGATGTCTTCTTTGGTTAAGTGTCTGTTCATGTCCTTTTCCAAGGCTGTAAATCTTTATGGAAGCAAATTTCCACATCTTTTTCCTGCAGAGTGGCTGGTGGATTTGAACCACTAACCTTTCAGTTAGCAGCTGAGCGCTTTAGCCACTGTGCCACCAGGGCTCTTTCCATTAGCACATTAAAAAAAAACCCAAACCTGTTGCCGTCAAGTCGATTCTGACTCAAAGCGACACTATAGGACAGAGTAGAACTGCCCCATAGGGTTTCCAAGGAGCGGCTGGTGGATTCGAATTGCTGACCTTTTGGTTAGCGCTGAGTTCTTAACCACTGCGCCACCAATTAAGATGCAAATATATAAGCATTTGATATTCACCTTTAATATGAATTCTCCATTACAGTGTGTGGATTCCTACAACTAAATAAATACACACAGTGTGTATTTTTGTTTGCCTCTATCCAAACTCATTGCCATCAAGTCGATTCCAACTCATAGCAACCCTATAGGACAGAGTAGAGCTGCCCCATAGGGTTTCCAAGGAGTGATTCGAACTGTTGATCTTTTGGTTAGCAAACTTAGCCCTTAACCACTGAGCCACCGGGGCTCCATTAGTACATAGTGCCCTAAAAATGAAAGTGAGGATGATGATGATGATGATGACAACTCAGCAGCAATAACTTGTGTGTATGTGTGTGTGGCAGTGGCGGGGGGGGGTGGGTTCTGTAGGACAAACTTGTTAGTCAGTTCTGAGGTCAAAGGAGGAAGGATAAAGGCTGAAGGACTGAGTTTGGGGGTAACCACTAAGTCTGGGCCCAAAGGACAAGATGCAAACAACAATCATGTGAGTTGGGGATTATTCTAGTCCCAATTTACCAATGAGGCCACTGAGGCTGCTAGTGCTGAAGTAATGCAAGTCACCCAGTTAGAAAGTGGCAGAGCTAAGACTCACACACAGGTTGGCCCTCTTGCTTTTCATGCTGCCTCTCATTGCAGTTGTACTCTAACAGGTACATTCTCCTTGAGGGGAGAACCAAGGGGTGTGGGGACAAGCTTTGGTTAACAGCTTGTGTCTTAAACTCAGAAACAGTCTACTAAGGAAGCATTTGGTCCCCGCAGGTTCTGGTATGTCTGGCTGAGCTGAAGAGGTCACAAACCACAGCCATCACCTTCCTCAGTTTGTCTGTCTATCACAACCAACTCTGCTAGCCCAGCCAGAAGAGGAAAATCTGGTATTTCCTTGCAGGGCCCTGAGTAGCCTAGGGCAGATGAAGTCCAATCCAACCAGGAGCCAAATGGAATGGGAGCGACAGATGCCCAGAGCTGAGAAGAGAGGGTGGATATATCCTCGGGGTCAGGGGCTCACCTATAGTTGGGAACAAAGCCTTGTGCCTGGTACACAGTATGTGTTTAATGAATGCTGACTGAAGAAACATTTATGGATGACCTGCTGAACACAAAGCATTGTGCCTATGAAATGATCTTGTTTAGTTTAATCCTCATAGTAATGCACCAAAGTTGGTGTTTTTAGCCCATTTTTTACAGATGAGGAGACTGGGGTTCAGAGAGGTTAAGTCACTTGCCCAAGG